AAAAAAAAAAAAAAAAAAAAAAAAAAAAAAAAAGATAATATTTGAATACAAGGAATATGATACAATATGATAGTGAGGGATGACAAGAACAAAAGAAAGTTGGGTTGAAATAAAATTGCATAGTTTCAAAACATCAGCCCGGTAATCGTAACACACTACACTTACGCTAATTGGGTGAATCACTTCTGCTGGCCTTTTTATCTTCGTTGTCGACATATCGCTAGCCCATCTCATTTCTATTTTAGTTGCACCGGTAAATACCACATTTTCAAACTCCTCTTCGGCAATTATCATATGGGCACTCCACTTGAATCTCTTCGGTTTATTAACAGGTTTTACGAGATGAACATTACGGAATCTCACAACTCCCGATCTCACCCATCCCATTTTTACTTTCTCGCGATTGATGGTGGTAGAAGAAACTGCCACGCCAAATGTATTATACAGCTCATTCGCCAACTCGAGAGCGTTTATTTCGTTATCTTCTCGCATTCTGTTGTCGATATACGCTCGGTGTTCATCGTTTAAGAGAGTCGGTGTTGTTTTTTGACGCGGTGGGTCGAGTAAACTGTCATGTGCCCGGTAGCGGCGGAGGAAGGCGGCTACACTAAATCGTGTGGTCAGGGACACCGTCTACGTCGGTAAGTTCTCTAACTATGGCGACAGGACCTTTCCCCATGGCATCGAGCTGAACGATACGTCGTCGTACCTTTGGAGTTAGTCGGGTTAATTTAACGGGAAACATATCCAGAGAATTGTACTGAATTACACACACGTAAATTGATCGATAATAGCGGTAATGAGACGTGTAGTCGATTTCTCAGTTCGTCGGCAGGAGATCAGTACTCACTATCTTATCAAAGAAGAGAAGAATGTGTCGATTTCTCGGCACATCGCTGCCTTATTATGCACCAAATCACTAGCTGCGGTTCCGTAGCTCTTTGGTGCGACCTACAATCGAATTTCGCCCTAACAATTTCATTTGGACGTCTTTTTTTTAATTTTGTAGTTGTACGTCGAACCACCACGCTTTCTAGCATACTAAACTGGTCACCAAATTTAACAAGTGTCTGCACTTTTTTTTACACTGTACGACGGACGCACAGTCGGACTGTGGCCGGCGTGAGCGTTGTCAAGCACAAATGATACTGTAAAATACTTTATTTTCGCTGGAATTAATTTTCGCTGAAAAGACTTTTTGGGTGTTTTGTATGGAATTTATTTTCATTGAGAATTGATAAGATGAATGTAAAATATAGGAAAAAGGGTATATTTGCTGAATTATATTTTCACTAAATTATTTCTTCAGCGAAAATAGCGAAAATTAATTCCAAGCGAAAATAAAGTATTTTATTTACAGTAGCTTTCTAATGTATACAGCGCCATCAGTGGCTGTTCCCGGCTTCATTCAAGATGTGATAGCTACTTATCAGGAGGTCACGGGTGCAGAGAAATACAGCTATGATGCTGTAGTTGTCACTTCGTGTGTGTGTGCTCGGCGCTTTGCTATGGTATGACACGATCATAGCCTCAGGCATGGGGTTTCTTTGGGCCGATTTCATTGCGGGCCTGGTTGGAGGTAAGACTGACATATATTATTTTCCTCTATTCAATTTGACGAATGTCTGTTGTGGCTTTATGAGTTTATCCGTAGTGTGTGGCTTCGGGTCGTGATTTAGGCCGGCGTAGCACAATCGCCGGTCAAAATCGTACTGTTGCCCGTGCGTAATCTCGCCCACACATTACCACTGCCGCCCGGTTCCAACCGTCATAACATACCTGTAACCATGGAGGTATATCTCTTTTTTTACCTCCATGCTGTAACGTACATCAATATTTCCATGTACACGCGGTGCACAGTGGGCTTGTTAACTCACATCGAGAGTAAAACACAGAACCGGACCCGGAATCTGTGGAACAACTCAATTAAATTGCAATTCCATAAAGAAATTTATTTTCAACTTAGTCAAATTCATTTAATTGCAATGCAACTTAATTACTAATTAAATCGACTCAATTAAAATTACAATATGAATGCAATTTAATTAGTAATCTGCATCTTGTTACAAAAGGTGTGAGGATGATGCAACTCAGGTGATGAAAGATTCACAAAATTATCAAAAAGATACACTAATAAAAATGCCTAATAACGTTTGGTTTATTCATTATGGTTTATTTTAACTATCTCCACAGGTGGGTCAGGTATAATTGTAGGACACCCATTGGACACCATCAAGGTTTGGTACATTTCAATACATCATGTGTGTGTTAAAGCGGGAGGGTCGTCACCTGCGCAGACACTGAATTGAGTCCCAAGCGACGATAACAACACACGCTAAAAAGCAAAGACTCATGGGTAGACGCTTGTTTGTAAACAATGACACGCTATGGCCATCTGACGCATGCGCAGGTGACTACTCCCCCGCTTTAAATTCACAAAACCCAATCTCTTCCAAAAAACTCAACTCATAATCAAGCTCAAACCACTTCGTTCATCATAATTCTAAAATTTATATAGTTTCATAATTTGCATGATTTTATTTGAATATATGATTGTATTAGTTTTCTTGATTTATTCTGGCTTTCCACTTGATCTTTGACACTGTATAATGTACCATGAGTTATTATGATTTGGAACTCCAAACTTGGCACAAAGTCAGGTAAGTATGTTTATATTTATAAACATACTGATAACAATTTATGATAAACCTAAGACACTACAAAGAAAATATATTTTTTTATTTGTCTACTGTTTTTATTTGAAATGAGTATGATTCAAATCTGAACGGAACAATTGGATCGTATTTGCAAGCACATCTTTCTATTCTGAGCAGTGTTCAGACATAAATTACACTGTATAGACGTTTCAGTTTATAAATACATGTATGTACCTGTATCTTTATAAATACCACTTCATAATATCAAAAAATATAGATATTTAAATACTTATGCAAATATATGTGAAAGAACTGGTGAGGTTTAGTCTCGGACTGTTTCTAATAATGTTGATTTTTTGCAAAGCATGTATTACATGTGTGGAATACCTACCTCAAAACGCGTGCGTTTTTGGAACGTTTTCTCTGTGTTTCGCACATTGCATCATGGGAAAAGGTAGTTGATATTTGCATAACTCAAGCAAAGAACTGATCAATGTTCTTCCGAGTGTGCTTTCATCAGGTATCAATTTGTAAGAGATTGTCCAAAAATATGTTGAAATATTTGAGTAAGTTCAAATGTCAATCTTATAACTTACGGTAGATAGAGTTTCACTCGGCTTAGTCGCTGACAAACGTGAAATCAAAAATATTCTCACCATAGTATTAAGACATAATAATAGATTTTAAGTGGACAGAAAAATAAATGGAAATGATCTCAACTGAACCTACACAGGAAAAAAAATATGCTGAATAAAAAATATATTTTCAAGGAAAAATAGCAGTTTATATGAACAAATACTGTAAAAAATGTTAAAAAAGCGACATACTTTTTTAGCAAATTGTGGTAAAATGATGTAATAGCGAAATGTTGATTTGTCTTTGTTGATTTCCTGTTTTCACAATACTTGTCTGCCAAAACAAAAAACAAAGAAAAACTGTCAAGTGTAACAAGGAAGCGCTCCAGATTATTACGTTTCTGTGTTGTTTACAGAGTCTGTGTGTGGGGAAAAGGATGTTGTTTGGCCGCCATTTTGAATTTATAATGTCATTAGCGACATCTTAAATTAGCGAATTAGTTCTCTCGCTAAATTCGCTGAAAAGACATGCTCGCGAAAAAGACATGTTTTACAGTAGCTCCTATTTAAGATTCTTGGGCGAATGAGGGTAGTAAGAGTTGTATTTCTAACATTAGTGGTATGTTTTGAGGTTTAATTTATTGGCCAACCAGTATTCCATACATTTTAATGAGTTGGACATGACACATTTAACGTCAAAAAGACGTGGAATACTGCATTTCTATAATTTTATTAGGTGAAAATACACAACACACAAAATGACAGACATGACTCTACTTCTATGATGGCTGATATGATGGTTCATTGCATTTTATTTTGCCGTTCATCACAAAACATTGTGCACTATGCATGCGTTGTACTGTAGAACACAAAACGTGTCAATCCCAGAAGTTTGAAAGTCCTGTGGTTACTGCCGAATGAAGCAGAGTATTCTAGGTACTGAAAATTGACACATCCATGGATTTTATGAGATAATGAGATGTTTATTGCATATTATCATAACAAAGTGTTGCATATTCTTATCTTATAAATCCTCAGAATTTTGACACATTCTAAGTATAGGTAGTTTGTGTATTGAATCTGACAGACGTAACGAGTGAGCTCTACTGACTCCACTGTAGGAATAATAATAGTTTTGAAGATGAATTTCATTTTTGTGTTATTTGTCCAATTTATTTATTACATTCCTGAAATACTATAATGCAAATTTATTTTATTGCATTCACAATGGTATTGGGCAACTTGTCCAAATTCTGTGGACTGTGACTCCCTAGGATCTCAGTGAAAGTCGCTGCGATTCTCCAGGATCCCACTGAAAGCTGTTATAACTCCCTAGGTTCCTAGTGAAAGTTGATATGACTCCCTAGGATCCCAGTGACTGTCTAAAACCCTATTGAAAATCACTATGACTCCCTAAAACCCTATTGGATGTCACTATGACTTGCTAGGACTCATATAAATGTCACTGTGACTCACTAGAACCTTAGTGAAAATTGCTGTGACTTACTAGGACCCCAGTGAAAGTCATCAGTACTACCTAGGTCCACAGTAGAAGTCACTGTGACTCACTAGAACCTTAGTGAAAATTGCTGTGACTTGCTAGGACCCCGGTGAAAGTCATCAGTACTACCTAGGTCCACAGTAGAAGTCACTGTGACTCACTAGAACCTTAGTGAAAATTGCTGTGACTTGCTAGGACCCCAGTGAAAGTCATCAGTACTACCTAGGTCCACAGTAGAAGTCACTGTGACTCACTAGAACCTTAGTGAAAATTGATGTGACTTGCTAGAACCCCAGTGAAAGTCATCAGTACTACCTAGGTCCACAGTAGAAGTCACTGTGACTCACTGTCTTAATGATTCCAAATAATTGTTTACTGTTGCAAGATTTACAAAAAAATGGTCTCTAATGCTAAATAAAACTGTGTATTATTTATTTTGAATAATAAACCCCCAGCAACATATTGAGAACTTGGTCTGAGCCACCATGGCCCCAGAACATGGATGTGCATATAGTTGTATGCTGAAACATGCAGGCGACACACTCAATGTATTGATATATACAACTTGCTTTGTTTGAGTATGTTTGTATTAATATGATTTTATCACAAACTTGAGACAATACCATGATATATAGTTGCATGTTTTTCCATTACCGTATTTGATGTCAAAATTATATGCAGATTCAGGTCTGATGGAATACAATCAAGTACTATAAAATGACTAATTTTCACTGGGTTTAAATTTCATTGATTTAGCATTTCAGGCATATTCAGTGGGTTTTACATTCACGGTTTTATCATTTAGATAATGTGTTCCATGCTCAATTTTACATATTCACTGGGTTTTAATTTAGCGCATTTTCCAGTCAGCGAAATAAGGAAAATTAAAACCCAGTAATA